CCTTTTATTTCACTCGCTGGGGTAGACAGTTTTAAGTTCCACGTGCCATGTCTAATGGGTGTCAGTTATCAGTTATCTGATGTTAATTCACCTCTCCAAGTTCTCCACTGCCTTAACTGAACTCACATCTCTTTCGTTCCTGTCAGTGGATCTAACCAACGCCTTTATCCACTGTGCCATGTGACCTTAAGAGCATCTGCGTATGCATTTCTGGTACTTATGAACTTAATGTTTTCAGTAATCATTTTTACCAGTGCTCATATTATATTTTTTGCTGTTATTATTGCATGTGTTTTACCAGATCTCATATTGCAATTTTCGTTGTTATTGGTTTAATCTGGTACTCCTTATTACTGGTTCCCATATTGTATTCCTTCCTATGCTTGGTCGTCTCAGGAGATTTTTGTGGCCTAGCATATGTGCTGATTCCTTAAGTTTACGAATTTTCCTATGATGTTCTTTGTCTATGATTTCAACTTGATCCCACAGAGGGCGCTGATTTCCCTTTTCTCTTCATATGCGGTCAACCACGCCTGATTTTTCTACTTCCCTTCTTTTTACAGCATTTTGCTGTCCTTGAAGCATTACCTTAAGGGGGCGGCCTATTTCTATATTTCTTTCCGCAGCTGCACGGGATGGCGTACACACAGTCTTTAGTCATGATCTCCTCTATGCGTGGTGTCTTACTCGGGAGAGGTATCTGCGTAGTTTCATCCAGCTTTTGCAGGTTGTCCTGATGTTATATGGACTGCAGATCCTTTGTATTTTCTCCGATAAACCCTTTACATACGGTAGGCAGACTGTTTTCTGAGTCTTGCTGTCCTCCTCTTGTATCCGCCTATCCCAATTTATTGGGGCTGCTACCAAGTACCCAAGATAGTTATTACGTTGTAGCCTACTGACTACACTAGCCAATTATTTATCTAATATCTGTGTCACCACTTTTCTCGGTGTTGTAAGCAGCGGACGATTCCTTTCTTTACGCTGTATGGATGGTGGGAGTTGAAAATAAGCTACCGTCCGGTGAATGTCGGTTTGCGGTATACTGATATCTTGAACCTATGCTCTGTTCGAGATATTAGAACATCCAGGAATGGGAGGTGTTTTTACTCTCTTTCTCCATCGTGAACTGTATCAAAGGTCTTATTGAGTTCACATGGTCCAGTAGAATCTGGACATTTTCCTGGTTTGGTAAGAGTATGAAGGTGTCATTTACATATCTTAACCACAGAGTTGGCCTTAGAGATATAGATTCTAATACCATTTCCTCAAAGTATTCCATGTATATATTCGTCATTACTGGTGATAATGGCGAGCCCATTGCTAAGCCCTCATCCTGTCAGTATACGTGCGATCCCATTCCAAAGTGGGTTGTTTGCGTACAGAATGTCAACATCTCCATCAGATTATCTATTGGAACACTGATCCGTTCGCCTAGGTATGAGTCAGAGGCCAATCTGTCTCTGACTAATAGGAGGCACGGTAGAGTTATGGATAGCGGCTTGGATTGAGGAATCGCTCGAATCCATTACATTCACTTACGTTACTAATACCCTTGGGAAAGGTGTGAATCCTCTTCTTCTCCCTCCAGCTATGGGTAAATAGCAGGACAGAGTGGGTTCTATAGCCTTGGATGGCAACTGATCTAGGAGAAGGAAAACCCTGAATTCAAAACCTGCGGAGGGTCGTTTGGGGACCTTGTGGCAAGTAGTGCACCAGGTCTCTGTACTCGGTCCTTCAAAATGTGTGGATGGTCCTGCATGAAGCCTTCACCACTATAATCAAATCTCATGTGCTATACACGCGGGTTGGGGACCGCTTGTGAATTCCAAATTCCCATGAAACTCCAATATTGGAGTCGGCTCAACCCACCTCGGGTGAATGTCGTTACAGGTACAGGTGACTACTGAGAGTGTCTCCTCCGCGGGTACCTTAATATATTGGTCCGTTCTCCGTTCCTTGTTCCAGATACAGCAATTGATTCGATATAGTCGCCCCACTTCATGTCAGTGTAAAACGCGAGCCCTAGGAGACATACAGATTTGCTCTTTTGGATTTTATTATCAGTCATGAGGATTGCACTCAGAAAGTTTTCTCTGTGGTGATCAAATAAAAAGCTGTCTTGTTTTAGAGGCGTTCTTCCTATTCTTATACAGCTGAGGCAGCTTAAACACTGGATTAATTTAATTAAAAATTTTATTATCCTCCCTGAGAGAAAGAATAACACTGGGAAAATTTGTAACTATCTCAATCACCATATACACCTAAAATTGCACCAATCGATGTCTTATATTTTTCGATCACTGAAAAAAGATTTGATGAAGAAAACGTCCAAGTGTTCACCAAAAACATTTTCAGATCAAAACCTGAGGAATTTTACTCATAATGTATGAAAGAGCTTCGTGATAAGTAGCAACAAGTCATTATAATTAAGGGTAAATATATAACTGAACAAAATGTAATTATACTTTATTTTGGTAGAATGTAATTGACTATGAGAAACGAAAATTCTTTATGACTCTATCTAATATTATTTTCAAAGAGAAATTCATTTTTTGCATATAGCAAAGTTTTGTGTGTATCGTGTTCCTTCAAGATGTGGGCGATCATGGTTTTCCATAACTTCAGGTCCATCGTTACTCAAAGCAACATTTTTCTTTTCATCCCTACTTGTCCCTGCGCTGACATCTATTTACACGAACTCATTAGGTGTGTTGCTCTATTTCTCCCCTTAATCTCCTTCCTACAATACCTCCTTTGAGTTACTTTCTCACAGACGTGTTGTGTCTTTTCTACAGATATTTTCATGGCAACTGCTCTGAGGAGCTTTTTGCTCTGGTTCCCTGATTACATGAATTTAAGCGTGCTACTAGATTGGCATCTAGGTCAACCCATTTTATTGTTGAAATAGATTATTTAAACAATACACCCCAAGCAAAGCGGGAGTGTTATTAGTACGCAAGGGGCTACAGAGAGTGTAAATAAGAGAAAAGACTGGGTAAAAGGTGGGGTGTGAGGAAAGGATAAAAAGCAGAACGGAGGAGAATAAAAAGAAGAACGGGGAACAAGTCAATAGAATATGTCGATTGACATTGCATTTAAATTTTTGACGATTATAGTCATCAGGGAAGGAAGTAAGAGGAAGGGAGTGTCAATGTTGGGAAGTGTGTGAGAAGAAGCTGTTGGAGTAGAAGTTTGGAGTTACATTTAACTGTTTCAACAGTAAAAGGGAGGGACCTAGATGCCTACCAAGTAGCACACTTAAATTCATGCAGTCAGGGCACCAGTGAAAATAGTTCATCAGAGTAGATGCCATGAAAATATTAATAGAAAAGACAGAGGGAAGCCACATTACGTTGGGGGAAAAAGTGACTGAAACTGAGACCACACTTATACTCCAACTTCTACTCCAACTGTTTCTTTTCCAGCACTTCCTGACAGTGGGACTCCTTTCCGCTTACTTGCTACCCTTATAACCTGAATCTTCAAATATATAAATAAATAAATAAATGCAACGTCAACTGCCGACTTTTGTTGACTTGAACCCTGTTCATCTTTTATCCTTTCCTCAACCACCCACTATACTCAGTCTTTTATCTCACTTTTTTTTTGTTTTTTTAAGCATTTCACCCCAAGCAAGGCGGGAAGCCACTAGGACGCAAGAGGTTACAGAAAGTTTAGAGCAAGATCAGATAGGAGAGATAGAAGAAAGGATGAGGGTAGTGGATAGATCAAGGCAACTGGAGATGTCGATTGACATTACACTTGAATAGCTGGAGATTATAGCTCACAGGGAAACAGGAATAGGGAAGGGAGTTCCACAGGCGAGAGGTGCAAGACATGAAGCTATTAGAGTAGAAGAGACGGCTACATTTAGGAGTTTCAACATTGAAGGGGTGAGAGCGGGATGCCAGTCTCGTAAGGCGCTGGAACTCATGACGTCTGGGAACCAGCGAATGCAGCTCCTCGGAACAATTTCCATGAAAGTATTTCACTCCTTGTAACACTTTGCCTACATGTAGCACTCAGACCTTTTCTGGCGGTGAAACTTTTAATATCTCTTTCTGATTCTTAGCAAATGTTCATTTCTTTAGTCAGTGTATTCATCTCAGGACTTCCGGCTGACAAAACCACGTGTCGTGTTCTTTGAAGCATTCAAACATTATGCTACATCATCTGTCGTTGGCTTTAAAAAGGTTTAAAAACAGCCTCGTTTTAGAATTCTGCTACAACGACGGCACTTCCTGAAACCTATTATTTGTTATAATATTAGGTTGGTGCAAAAATAATGACGTTAGAATGTCGTTTTTTGACGTAGAAAAGTACGTCAAAAACGACATTATTACGTCATTATTTTTGCACCAACCTAATAGTAATAGTAGTTTTAATATTAATAGTCGTTGTATTAAAACGAGGATTTGGTGACGAAAGTTTTATAGTCAGAGCGATTCACAACTCAGTGCCTAGGTAATTAATGAATGGTTATCCTAATGAGGATAAGCTGTTTGATAAGACAGGAAATCAAAACGGAATTTTCCCTGCATCATAATATGAAATTCATTCTATATTCACCTCCTACAACTTTGCTGAGCCCAATTAGAAATGACAAAAAAAAAAAGGAAAGAGATGAATAAATGAAAAAGGGACACAAATTAGAGATGATTAATAACAGTCAGGGAGCACCATGCTTCTGTTTGGCTTGAAACATAAATCCCATTTATTTCCGGGCATGTGGACTGACCGCCCGTAACGCACAACAATAAATCCAATGTCTGCGCGGTTCCGAATGACCAAGTTATACTCCATGTGGCTAAGTCTGTCTAAAAGCCGTGGAAGATTTTATGATGCGCTCTTTAGTTACGGTAATAACACTTGTTAGAGCGGATGTCTCATGACTTTGAATCTTTGGTCATCAAATTAAAAAGGAAAAATGATTTTAGAGGAAATGTAAAAAGCAGGGAGTCGTTGCCAATTACACACTCACCAAAGGTTTACGTCTAATGTTTGACCTGAGCTGGAAATACTACAGAAAATGGCACTATTCCTGTAAAAACCAAAAGAACACTGATTCAATTCTATCTATCTATCTATCTATCTATCTATCTATCTATCTATCTATCTATCTATCTCATCCCTCTCATCCCTCTCTCTGTACACACACACACACATACATGTATATATATATATATATATATATATATATATATATATATATATATATACACTAAAGAGCCAGAACCTACCTACCAAGGTTTCACCTAATGGACATTCAGTATATATATATATATATATATATATATATATATATATATATATATATATATATATATCTGAAAGACAGGTAAAATGATTTCACCCCTTCCATTTGGCATAATATGATAAAACATCATTTCATATTGTTTTTTTTTTTTATTTTAGAAAGGCTTATTTGCACGATTCAGCACTTTCTCGCAATGATCTATCTATCGGAACACACTCACTAACCGTTATATGATGTAAATTCCGATAAAAAATACCTGAAAATACAAAATCAAAAAATCTGTAATCCTCGTTTTGGTTTAATATAAAATATAAATCCCGTCTATTATATATATATATATATATATATATATATATATATATATATATATATATAAATTGTAAGTCAGTCTATTCTGATATATTATTCCCTATTTACATTGTTCAGAATATCGATCTAATCTTTGTTGCTATATTTATCACAACGTTTCGGCTGTTGTAAGCTCCGGCTTTCTTCAGGTGGTTGGAATGTCGAATGAACCCTTTATTTAACTCGCTATGGTTGCCTGTTCTAGTTCCATGTGCCATACCTAATGGATGTCAGTTATCAATTATCTCCTGTTAATTCCCCTGTCCACGTTCTCCGCCACCTTAACCAGGCATTGAACTCACACTGTTTGGCTCCTGTCACTGGATCTAACTAACGCCATTATCCACTGGAGATAATGGCGTTAAAAATATAAGGCGTTAAAAAAATTAAGAAAATCTACTTGAAAATTATTTACTCATGTATGAACAATGTAGAGAAAATTATAAATTATCTCAATAATAATATTATTAGAGAATTTAATGTTAATCAATTATAAAAAAATACTTCCACGTGTAATTGCAGACTAAAAACTTAATGCCAAGTGGGGGGCTACGTATGACAGAAAACGTTGTGTCCGAAGCCATTATATTTATATTGGAATATCTGCTGTGAATTGGTAACGACGCCTTTATATCTAGCGCCATACCTTCACTAATGAATCCCTTAAACAACAAAGAACGTTATCGAAATACTATTGAGATCTGGTGGAAAACGGCTTCACCCCAGATGTGAAATGGAGAATTAACTCTGGAGCTCAAACGCATAGAAACTTTAGAGAGAGATATGACCTCTGCATTAAGGAGAAAATCATTATAATCGAACATAAGGATCCTGAGTAATTACTAAATCATCGCAACGAGATTATCTTTAAATGTGGACACAGACATCGTCTCAAAATAACAAATTACATCTAATATTTGCGAGGCCTACCCATAGAAACACCGGAAGTTTTAATTATCTGTAACTGAAATAAAACCTGATGTCGCTATTTATATAGGTTTAACTGCTTATGTTATATATCCGTATAGATGTTTGTGTGTGGGCATATGCATGTTGCTATGTATCCTTATAATAGTGTTGACATTTGGAGGTGATTATAAGGTATTTATAAGTATACACATATGTTGGTGTATGTGCATTTAGGAGTTTATATAGTGAGATATTTACTTGCTGGTATTTGAATATATACATGCACATACGCGCACACGCGTGTATGTGCGTGTATATATATATGTATGTATATATGTATATGTATGTATATATATATTTATGTGTGTATATATCTATGTGGAGGTATATAGGTATTTGTGTGTGTGCATGTGTTTATATAGACATTTATACAAGAATATATATGGTTAAATGGGTTATAAATGATCTAATATTTCCGGTTCTTCATTATGAAGTTACCGTTATTCCTCTCGTGTGTATGATTGCTATTATTATTATTATTATTATTATTATTATTATTATTATATTTTTTTTATCATTATTACGATATTATAAAGATAAAATATTTAATTTAAATCTTTTTTTCATTTCGAAATGTTTTACGAATTTTTTTTAAGATTAAAATTTTAGAATTTGTATCTTTAGGTTTTAATTACATATTTTTTGCTCCTTAATTGTTATTCATAAATTTTATAATGTCAATAATATTAATATTTATTGTTTGTTTATCTTTCATTCACATTATACTTTTTTCTTTTATTTTGTTGACAATTTTTAAATGTTTAAATTAATTTCAAACGTCAACTCCAAAATATATTTTGTTCAAATTCACCGCAATATGCCCATATATGTTAATTTATTCATCCTTTTCTTCTGCCTTTTATACTTTCCCCATTTTGTATTTGCCATTCTTTTCTCACACCCTGATTTCCACATCTGCTTTCTTATATCTTTGCTTCTTTTTTTCTCTTTATCTCGTTTCTGTAAGATGACTTATTAAATAGTTCGATGTCTGGTCCTTAACCCCTCCTCTCTTACTCATAAGTATCTTCATAAAAATAGATTTAAAATTACTCCTCTCTCCTTTACACTCTCTCTATTACCTTACATCAACTTAAAACTATCCCTCAAAATGTGTAAAAATCATACGTAAATTTTAAACCATTTTTTCACACTTGGACATGTGATCTGGTGACCCAGGTAAAACCACCTACCTGGGGAAACAAATATAATCAATGAACCCTTAAGGTTGCCTGTTTTCTAATAAAATTGAATTCATATATATATATATATATATATATATATATATATATATATATATATATATATACACAAGCTGGTATATTTACACGTACGTATGAATATATTTTTCACCAGGTTTTATAAAGACAGTGCTCAATGTTATTGGACAGAACTATAAATATATATTAGTAAAAATACGTACTACCCAACCTCGATAGCACGACTCGGAGTTTCAAGCAGTTGATGCAATCCTCAAATGCAAGTATCGACGTTGGATATTATGTATATTCACTAAGATATATATATATATATATATATATATATATATATATATATATATATATATATATATATATATTAAACTAAAGACCAACACGTCTGTTGACATATCTCAGCAAAAGAATTTGAAAATACTCACAGTATAAGTACCTTAAAGCACACATTTCAGGAATATGAAATTAAATACAGCCACTATTCCAATAATTTTAGAAGAATTTAGAATAACTGACAAGAATATACATACACAAATATTAAGAATATTTACGGAAACCCGCCACTATATTAGGCAGTAAATCTTTGTCTTGACACAGAAACAAATCTTACATAGTAATATGATCTATAAATTTAAAAATGAAAGCTTATTTGACTTCAGATCTCAGATAAAAGACCTGATCTCGGACTGAAAGAATCAAGAAATCAGATAATAATAATAATAATAATAATAATAATAATAATAATAATAATATAGCAGTTGCAACGATATGATAGAGTTAGATCACTCTTCTCCACTGATCACTCTCCGAATTATTTCGGAGGTGTTCTTGTCGAACTCTTGTCGAACTCTCTGCGTCTGTAGAGAAGCAACCCAGGCGATGATATGCCAAAGGGCGGAGATTCGTCTGGGGTGGTAGACAGTTACCCGTCTCCGTTTTTACGGGGTATACGGGGAATTTTTGCTCGTAGGCTCGGACACCTCACAATAAACTCGGCCTTGTGCCACATCCGATCGTGTGGGGTGGTTAGTGAATATCAGACAGTACATACAGTGAACAATATGTTGCGCATTCAACCTCCCTCACAAAGGTGATTGTTGGGAACATGTTGAAACACGTCTTCCTACAGATGTTGTAGCCCCAACCGGCAAAAAATTCATTTTTGAACACGATTAACAAATTAATATATACAACTACTTCATGATAAAAAAAATCAATAGAATAGAATGTGACATCTCAAGAAAAAATGGGATTGTTTGAAAAAATATTAGGGGTGTGCATATATTGGTTGTTTTGGAGTTTTTTTTCTTTGAAAACTGAACTTGGATTACGGACGATTGTTTTCGCCTCAATTTCATGTTCTTAGTTCTTTCATTTTTTTTTCCTCATTTTTCTTTGTGTATTGGTTTGTTCATTTACAAGCCAAAACATCTAAGGTTTTTTTCCAGACAAGTATAATTACTAATATATATATAAAATTGGTCCATACAAAATAAATTCCAATAACCAACAATTACTATTCTTAAAAGAGTGCTCAATACAGAGTAGAGCGAATATAATTATTTATTTAAAAATTATAAACATAAATTTATTATAAAATCACTACAAAAATAGCCATTTTGTTTCAACAACTCTGGTGTTTTATCAAGTGATGATGTTGAATGTAGATTGTAGAATAAAGATTTTAAAAGGTTCAAATTAATTAACCACCCCTCGTGAGGGGAAACGCTGTTACATGAGCTGAAATGGCCAATCACAATACAAGTATACAAGAATTCAAAAAACTTGACAAAGAAGTAAGGTTATAATAACTATTTAATGCTTTAAAATTAGTTTTATACTAAAATAGAATTTATTCTAACTAATAATTATTAAATTGTATGATAAAATTTGAAATTAAAATTAAAAACTACCCATTTCAAAAATGTAAATTTAATCTGTATTAACTTTAAAATTTTAAAATTATTGAGGAAAAAAGAAAAAATACATATGTTAATCTATTCATTTTTTTTTCTATTGAAATTACATTGGAATAAACGTTAAGATCGACTGCCCTTAACTTAATGACAACATGGATACAAGTGTATACATGGGATTATGACATCTTGCGAAAGACAATACAAACACAATCAAATTACAATACGTAAGCACGCAGACATATTTAGATATATACACACACACAAAAAATGACGAGACAGGAAATATTTGCATGACCTTTTACAAAAAAAAAATTAAACCACACACATACACAATTAAATGTGCATGCAATTTACTATACACAGTCACCGAAAATGATACGTACATATACTCACATACATTGACATAGACACTCTGATATAACACTCAAGAAATATTCAAGA